CCAAAGATAACGAAAGCCAAACTTCAAATACGTGCAAAGTCCAAACTGCATTACCAACCAACCCAAAATGACAGGGTTAGCATTCTCTGCGCCATCTTTTATTTTGGAAGCTAACTAACATGTGACGCCGCCATGACAGTTTCATTATTCAAATGTTAGATTTCATTCTACGTTAGTACTATATTTTCTATGCAGACATCGCACCGAATACGATGCTTTGATCCGGATCTTTGTGTTGATACGTTTCGGTGTGTGTTCCGTAATTAGCTCAGTAGAATTTCAGTAAAACGCACTAAAATTTTTGCTGAGACGTTGACGACCTTGTTATAGAGAATCAGCAGAGAAACTAATAGTAAATGATTGCTCCGAAAGTGCGCGCCGCGCCATTATTCTATGGCTAGAAATTGGCCTCAATGATTTGGGATCGAGGGGGATTATCCCTCTTTATCCTGCCTCATTTCGTGTAGGCCTGGACAGCCTTCGTAGATGGGCCCCATCCGTCGTCTACCCCGACCGCAAATGCGGCCGGTGTAGGCGCTTTGTGGGACCTCCTTTTGTCCTGGCTGGGCCCCGCCGGCTAGGGCCCTTTCTTCTGGCGCTCTTCTTGCTTCGCCGGATCGTCTGTGTAAACCCCGGGGGTGGTGTCATATTTATGTGTGGTATGGTTGGGTAGGGCAGTGCGGCTATGCAGCCTGGGATGCGCTTTGCTAAGGTGGCCCTTAGGCTAGCGCTATCAGTGATGTGGGATTTGGGTCATTTAGTAATTTCACATTCTAAAGTTTTGCTGAATCTAATTAAAACAAATTTCTTGAAAATTGTAAGTCAAAGAATAAGTTGATTGAAAAAAAAATCGAAAATTGTGTCAAAACTTTGTGATTGTACTTAAAAAATAATGTATAGTCTCCATGGTAATGACCTTCCTGGTAATGACACTGACATTTAACGACTTCACAGCATGACAGAACTAATTTCATGACATTACAGTTGACCATGGACGCCACGGAGCTGTAACCAGAGTAGCAAAATAAGTACCACACCACAAACAAAACCGACCACTGAACACTGAATTTTTGTTGCTCTTGCCTCTTATATTCTTCCATGACATGTCCGTGACGCTGCTGGGTGCCAGTAATGCGGGAGATTTAAAGTACTAGGCGAAGAACCGAGCCGTTGGCGCACTGGCCAATGACGCCAGCTGAACAAACAGTATAAGGGTGAAAAATTTAGTATAATTAGTTGTAAGCCGTGCACGAACTCAAAAAGTACCAAAATAAATAGAAAAGTACCTCGGTACCAAAGATCCTTGAAAAGTACCAAAATGGTACTATAGTACCACCCCTGGCAACACTGGGGGGAACTCAATGTTGTCATCACGAATTACAAATGGCGGATTCAAACTACAAAATTTGTATTTAATAAATACATATCTTTTTACTTGAAATTTACGAAAATGTGGTTCGTGAACAGTGTTAATTGTTCATAACAGATGTTCTGGAAAGCTACATAAAATATACAGAGTTCTATGTAGTGTTATCTGAAATATCCAGGTTAGAATTTTGAAAAATTTTTTTCTTGAAAACTAGGTTCGACCGCACAAAAAAAACTGCAGATTCGTGTTCAGCACCATCGAAAATAGGGGGGTAGACAAAATTTTGTGAAAATTGGAGGTGGTGCCACTAAAGTAAATAATTACCTGAAATTTTTTCGAGACACGTGAAGATTTATTTATTTGACGTTTGAACGAAATTATTTGTTTACCATTAAAATTCCACAACCTGCGCTCAAGATTCTAGTATTGGTATCAAAAATCAGTATGTAGCGGCACGGTCAATCATTCTCGATCACCCTGTACAACAGTCTCAAATAGTTTTTAAACTATCAGAATTTATTAGTTTCAAATCAGTTCTCAACTGTTGTAGAAACAAACCTATTATTTCAGTACACACTAAATTCAGTTTGACCTAAAGGGCTCCACAGACTTCGTGCAAATCGCGTGAATTGGGTCACACAAACGTGCTAGCGCGGTGAGGAGGAAAAAGGGTACGGTTTCACCGTTATGTAAAATGTTTCGGTTAGATACGTTGCTTTTCTTGGTTCGCGCGAATGGAACAAAGTCCGTGGGGCCCTTGATACGTGAGAATTTTGTTAGTACTTGCCATTAAATAAGTTTTCTAAATGCTGTTTTCAATACCCAGCCACATAGAATTCAAGATTTATATCCGTCAGCACCAGAATCATAATCATAAACAATAAGTGACAAAACTAAAAACTTTTTTTATTTATAAAAGTATGTAACGCATACGACAGACTTATAAATATAATTTAAAACTTAAAACCAGTTAAAAGAACCAATCGGAACTACAGCAACACTAGCCGTGTGTCTGGTCGTCCTCCACGAAGTCCCTTGCCACCTCTCTACTGACGCACTCCACGTGACTCACCTTGTTCCGAAACTTGACGCCGTAAAACTTATGGGCGTGTTCCAGCAATTCCGGCCGGAAAGTAGTCGTAATGAATTGCGCCTCGCTAGACAACTCGTGGATCATATTGGCCACCGCTTTTCTATGCTGGGCGTCCAGAGCCTGATCGATTTCATCAAACAGATAGAAGGGTGCCGGGTCGCACTTCTGAATAGCAAAAATAAGGGCCAGGGCGACAAGTGACTTCTGACCACCTGACAGCTGGTTCATTTCTTTCATTTCGGCATCGGCTTCGGTAAAGGAGATTTTAATGCCGATGCCAGTGAAGTGGTCTGCGTTGGTGTCTTCTGGTCCTATTTCTCGCCCTTCTTCGTTGTCGATCGTTTTCATGACGAGCTTGGCTCGACCGGCAGGTACTAGTTTCTTGAACACTTCCGAGAAGTACTTGGAGACTTGTTTAAAGGTAAATTGGATTGCCTCCATCTTTCTCTGCTCCAGCATTGAGATCAGTTCCTTAATTTTCTCGTCACTGCAAAATATAACATTTTAATAGACTGTTTTCTCGCATGTATCGGCATTCATTTGTATTTTACGAGATTCTCAAATTCGACCAATCGGCGCCATATTACGCCAAACTTTTGCTAAAATTTTGTCAGAGATAAAACCATCTCTAACTTTTTGAACGAATTTAAAATAATATGCACCTCATGTCAGACATAAGTATAAATACAATCATTAAGCAAAAATGCTTCATTTAACGATATAATTTTCAATAAATTTAGATATATAAAGAGTAACTATTAAGTTTTAAGACTGATTTTATTTTGGGGAAGTGCGTGGCGCTATTTATGTGTGGTCACCGGAACTGCATAGTGGGGTGACCTAACAAAATTTCATCGGTGTACATGTATCTACCATGAAGTTATAACGTTTTGCGTGAAGCGATATTTTGATAGTTGTGAAACGCATTGAACAACGTACAGCAATCAAGTTTTTTTTTTAAACCGGTAAAACAGCCACGGAAACGTGTTGCAAATGATGAGAAGAAATGAATTAGTAATGCTGTCGTAACCCATCGATTGTACAATCGCACCAGAAAAGAGAGAAAAACTTTTACTATTAAAAATTTGGCCTCCTTTTTTGAGGAGCAGACCATCAACCAAAATTGCAACCGTTCAATTTAAATGTAGCTAAAAATACATGTACAAATAGCCAATATTCCGTTGTAACATGGAAAATTAAATATTGATACTTTGAAATAAATATTTGTATTATGTTATGCGTTGTTCAAAAACTAAAACAAAAAATTAATAAATTTTTCATTTGGGAAATAAAGATGCATGAAATTTTACAAAATTTTTGTTTTTGAGAAATATTTTCAATAGAATAGATTTTTGGAAAAAATCCCTCGAGATTAGGTCTCGATTTTTTTTCATTGATTTATTCAGTCTCAATCATTTTCCTAGCAAAACTGCAAAAAATCAATTATACAAATTTTATCCGCAAAACTTGGAGGTCTTGGAATGTGATATTAATTTTTTTTCTTTGTTTAAATTATTACCCTCTATCTAGTTCCTCTTTCCTCTTCTGCAGTTTCTCCTTCTGGTCAGAGAAACTCATGAACTGGTCTAAAGCCTTTTTATTTACATGGCTGAACTTTTTCAACTGGTTATTGGTCTTTTCCAATTCTTTGAACAACTGAAACAATAAAAGGCAAATATAAATTGTAATTTTCACTTAAATAAATGTTTTTGAGCGACTTACTGATCTGGAGGACATTTTAACGTAAAGCGAATACAAGTCTTGCGCAGGCAAGGCACCCAACTGATTGATTTTTTCTACGGATTCAGCTATTTTTTGTTCAAGGAGGTTTTGTTTAGAAGCGTACTTTTCCAGATGCTTGGCATCTTCGTCAATTCTATCCTGGGCATCTTTTTCCTTCTTTTTCCAGTTCTCCAATTCACTTTGTTCATTTTTCAACTATAAAAGTTATTATCATTGTTATCATCGCTAGTTGTGCTAATACAATTCAAAATGTACAAAACCAAAACAAAAGTAGTACAGAATTACAGTAGTAACTAAAATTCTTTGTAAAACGTTCCATAATATACATTAGAAATTAATAAATAATTTAAGTATTTTTCTGTTTATTAATCCTCTGGGAATCTCTCAAAATAAAATCAAAACGGAGGATCACTCCGTTTTTACTGGATGATTCAGAATTAGGAAGTTTCATTACATTTATATTGACAATACTATCATGATTTTTTATGTTAAGTTCGCAGAAGCAATAGTCTTTTAAGTATAAATCTACAATACACCCGATTTAATCATAATGTGAATATATTTCACACTATTGGAAAATCCAGTTACCACGGTGTTGGAAAGGGCGCCACAATCACATCGTCCCCAATGAATAATCACTAAATAATGTAGAAATATACCTATTTAGCTAGTCTCATATAAATGAAAAGTTGGTAAGTTTTAAGGGAATTCAAAAAATTTGTATATTATACACCTATTTTCAATTTCGTCAAAACCTGTGAGACAGCTGTACAATGACATTCATTATAGTAAGTTAATAATTATAAAATTATATGTTTATATTTGAATGCAAGTTGCATTATGCAACTATGTCTATCTAGCATGTTATGTACAAGTGTAAGTAAAAAGTGTTAATGGTACTGTGGCATACAGCAAAAAAAAAATATCTAGTAATGTTTACAAACAAGTGCTTTGCAAAAGAAAATAAATTTATACTCTGTAAATGTTGTCGTAGAGGAAGAATACAGTGAGAAAACTGAGATTCAGCTATTGCTATTCAATGAAAATTATGTTTATTACATCATACTCCTCTCAAAAAATTAAATATCTTTAAGCAATACGTTCAACTTCAAACACCATGTCAAATTAGTTACAAGCAAAATTATATCCGGAGCAAAACTCTTGAGATTGTAACAAACAAAAACAAAACAGCCTTAACATAAAATTTCAATTATTATTATTTTTGAAAGGCTAACATCAATATAAAGAAAAACAAAATGCCAACTATGCGTGTAATACTAAAATATAGTTAAAATTAAGTTACAATCAATAAAAAAATATAATCAAAATTTATAAAAGAATGGGCTCACAAAATTTAAACACAAACAATTTTCCCGGCCTAACAATTTATTTTTTGATAACCGAATGTTTTAGATTGCCACATTAAATTTTTCAACATTTTGTAACTTTTAGTAGCTTGTCGCCTATTATTGTAAGCTAAATTTAATTATGATGGTACAATTTGATGACATGTCTATATGTCATAAAATTACTAAGGCTGTGAATTAATTTTGAGGCATTTACAATAGATGTCGTAATTTATGTTAAATCACATCGAACATTTCTGTAACTATATTCATTTCAAAGGTCTGTCATTAGGCTTTACTTTTTATTATGTGTCATTTTGCTGAAGTGTAAACAATATATTTTTTATCAGCTCTGAAAATGTCGAATTACGAACCAACAAAACACCATTTGTGGGAAAATGTTACTTTTCCTATTTAATTCAGATAAGAGATGCTAAAAGCCATCGAGTGCTGTTGGAAACTTACAACAAATATACTCCATTGTTAAAAACACGTAAGAATTGGTTTCGGTGTTTTAGAAATGGTGATTTCGTTAAGAGTTAACAAAGAATGCCTTGGTCAACTGAAAAGGTTCAAAGATGAGGCATTGAAAGTATACTCAAACAAGATTCATGTAAAACGCAAAGTGAACTTGCTGAATCGTTAAATGTTGATCGCACAACAGTTTCTAAATGTTTAAATACACTCGGCATGATTCAAAAGCAATTTTTCACGTGTGAACAATTGTTTTAACCGCAAAAAAGAAAGGGTCACTGGCGATGAATAATGATAATCCTAAGCATAGAAAATCGTGGAGTTTGCCTGATCATCGACGGCAAGGCCGAATATTCATGATTCGAAGCTCATGCCCTATATTTGGTGGGATCAACTTAATGTACTATAAGCTTCAACTGAATGAAACCATCACTGGTGAAAGCTACCAAACATAATTGAGCCATGCCATGCAAGGAAAAACGGCCGCATTTCAAGCAAAATAGGATCAATTGGATAGCATCAAAAGATGAGTACTTTTGAAGTACTTTTAACGCAGAATCTGCATGCCACAAGAAAGATGGGAAAAAATACTGGCTAGGGAATAATAATTTTTCACAATAAAGCCCTGAATTTACAAAAAAAAAATCCCTCCAAATTAATTTAAAGTCCTAATATATTATTAATTACAACATAAAAGACAATTTAAAAAATGCAAAATACGTTAGTGCATTTTTATATTAGTAAATATCAATTATTGTTTTTATAATTTAGTAGGCACTTACATAAATTTGTAGATTATAAATTGTAACAGCTAATGGTTATTTTTGGGGCTGTCAGATATTAAAAGCAAAATTAAATATAAAGTTAATTAAAATGAGTTTTTGGTGCTTACTGAAAATATAGCGTGTATGCGCCACTATTTCATTTATTTCAATTTTTATGTTTATAAGAATTAAACAATTTATGAATGACTAATATGACCCCCTCAAGTTCAAGTGTAACAAAAATATTATGTGGCAATTATATTTCTCAATTTTTTCTGCATTAAAATTGGACAAAATTATTGAAAAATTGTTTTATTACATTTCTAATGCCTCCAAACATTAAGCTAATGAGTAATAAAAGAATGTTGTCAAATTAAGAATTGAAGAATTGACTTAACTCACCCGTTTTGTCATTTCCTTAACCTTGACCTCCATGCTGCTCAACTCCCTATTCACCTTTTCAATTTTCTTATCGATTTCTTCCATATCTGACTTACTATTAACAAGTTGCCTCTTTCTATCTTCCAAAGAAATCTCATGGAGGGCATGTAAAACTTCATCCCTGCGTCTGATCAGGTTATTCGTCAACAAATTCTCTAATTTATTCTTCTCGGCCTCGAGTTTCATTCGAGTACTGAACGCTTCCTTATTCTCCCTTTGTAGCCTCTGGATATCGTCGTTCAGGGAGTCCACTTGGGCTTGATCGTGAACGGACAACTGAGAGAGTAGCTCTTGGTGTAACTCCGATTCCAATCCCTCCTTGGTAGTTTGCATAGCTTCTAGACTCGATTTGCACTGAGCTAACGAACGTTCCTTAGGTCCCCTGAAACGTTCGATATTCGATAGTTCTTCACGCATCAAACGTAGCTCTCCTTTCACTTTGTCGTAAATGCCCTTCGCTTTGCTGTTTTTAGTCTCCGTCTTCTGCATTTCGGATACTATGCTGTTGATAGACGCCTCGGTTTTGGCGAGTTCAGCTCTCAGAGACTTAAGTTCTTGCTCGCATTGTTCTATTTGGGTAATAGTCTCGCTGCGGTTCTTCTGCATCTCTAAACGAGACCTAGAGGAGTTGAAGTAACCTCCAGTAAGAGATCCTTTGGAAGATACTTGATCGCCATCTAACGTGACGCAGTCTAAACCTGTGGTTCGAGCTAATTTTGTAGCTACGTCTAGGTTTCGGCAAATGAGGGTTTTTCCAAATAGGTACCTCATGGCCTTGTCATACTTTGGGTCATAATGCAATTTTGATACCATTGGAATAGCATCCTGTAAGTGGTAATGGTAAGTGACAAACTGTATATGTTTAACATCTGATGGTACTTACAGAGTCATTAGGATAATCCTGATCTCTCACGTTTAATCGATTCAAAGGCATGAAAGTAACCTCGCCCGGCAATTTTTGCCTGTTCATTTCCTTCAAAATTTGCGTTCCAACCTTATCAGAATCGATAACATGATGAAACAGCCTATTACCAGCTGTGACCTCGACAGCGGTGTAAATGCTCTTTTCACAATCAAAATTTTCTATAACTGGTCCGTAATATGAACGGGCAATCTCAGCTTCTCTCCCGCCACGGTTTATGAAGGTGTCCAACACTTTCCTAACACTATCACGACCATTAAGAATAGGTTTACCCGCCATGGATCTAAGTTGTTGATCAGCTTTTGCCAGATCTTCCTTGAGGGAGGAGAGGTTTTGCTGGACGTTGTTCTCTTTACGCCACAGTTCACTGAAATCGGTTATTTAATGAAAGTTCATTATAAAATTATTGATGTGTAGTTTTCTATCGAGTAAAAGTGATATTTTTTGTGTTGAGGATGTACTCCATTAGAACATAAATAAAAAAAATATTTTTAGATCAAATGTATGTATTTCTTTAAATGATGAATATGAATTAAATACTTTGCCATAATAAAAAGCATTTACTTTGAATTAAATGTATTAATATAAAAAATTATGGAAATAATTATCAGCAATATTTTGTAAAAATTATGAATGCCAACTGACACATTACAAAAGGTGAATTACTTTGAAAACTACTATTCCTTTGTTATATTTTGTATTCTATAGCCCAGATTCAGTGGTTTTCCACATATGGTACACAAGACTTTCGAGAAATTGTCATTTGTTTAGATCATAATCAGTTAAATCAAGTCAGCTTTGTAATACTAATCCATCAAATTAGCTGAATTTTGATAAAGGATTCTGTAATTATTAACGTAGTTGCCATGACAAAATGGTGACTCCACTCTCAAACCCGTGCCAGACTATCAAATTTTCATCAAATTTGTTTGACCAAGACAGTTTGAAGACGTGATTTTGACATCAGGACATGTTTGATAAAGCTATCAAATTAACCAAACTCTTTTTATTAATTTCTCTATTTTGCCATTAAATGAAAGATGGGTAAAAAACAAAATATGAATGAAAAAATAAACCGTTAGCTTTTGCAGCCATTCCTACAGTAATGATTATTAATTATTTTACTAAGTTGACCAAATAAGTTTGATCAAAATAATTTGAAGGAATAAAACTTAAGTTCGGTGTTATCAATTTATTTGGATCAAACAAATTTGATGAGTATTTGATTCTGACACCGGCTTATCTTTCTGGAAGTACAAATTTCGTATCATAAATGTCAGTCTTTCACATTTATTTAATTTTGCCACCAGCAGTTTACAGAAAAAATCCACATTTCAAGAAAACTCACAGACTGACACAAACAAGTTTGGGTTTGTGATTGAGGCAGAGCTGTGTGAGATTGAGAAAGACCGCATTCGTCTAGAAAAAATAAGATGTAAGCACGACGATTAGGAGTAGCGACTTCTGAAGAATTTCCCTTGTTGTGCATCTTTTATCTACTATTGTAAAACAAACATTTATGTCATCGCACCTTTGAGAAAACTCTACCCCTAACCTAACACATTAATAACATTTTTTTATTTTATTTTCACAATGAGAAACGTATTGTTTTAAAATTTTCAATTTACAATTTTAAAAATATATAATTAATTAGTTAAAAAATTTTGTTTGCCTAGTGCCACACTAATCTTGTTTTCATAGTACAAATTAGTAGGTTGCTATCTGCCAGAAGCTACAAAGAAATATTTTCTGGCAGTAGGCGTTGAGTAGAAATGATAGGTTTTCCAATTTGTAAATTATATCTCACTCAGAACAAAATAGATACCGCTATGATCTTATAAAAACAAAGAATTGAACTGAAACTACTGGAAGCAATGCAGGTCTGTGTTTAAATGAATCTACAGAAGAAAATTGCTCAGAAAATTGTCTACGTTGAAAAAAGAACGGTAACTTCAAGTCGCTTTAACTTTCAAAATGCCACTTCTCATATCATATCATTCTACCTTCAATAAAAGCTTTCTAACGATATAAAACATTTTATCATATTGAAAATATTGGTTATTCCGAAGTTGTTGCATCGTTGGTGAATTAAATTAAAGTTTTCTTTCAAATGCAAGTTTTGTAATTTCCGAAAAAATATTCTTGCCGCCTACCAGAGGAATGTCACAAATTACAGTTTAAATTTACGAAATGTATCAGTGAAGTTTTGTTTTTCCAATACTTGAAAAAAAAAAAAATGTTTTTACTCACTTTCTAGTGGCTTGATATTGGTCCTTATTCTTTTTTAACTCATAACATTGCTTATTATGTTCGTCGATGCAGTTTTTCTGTCGTTCCAATTCCTGAGACTGTTCTTCAATTTTCTTTGTCAATTCGACAGCCTTCGCAGCATCCCTTTTCAAGTCGGCTTCGAGCTTATCTCGATGATCCTTTTTATCTTTCAACTGCTTATTAAGTGATTTTAGTTCCTGCTGAATCCATCTATCACGATCATCTTTCGAAGTGAATTGGCTTCCTCTACCTTGTTTGGCGTACAATTCTTTTCTTTTTTGTTCTTTTAATTCTAGCTCCCTAGTACACTCTTCTTCACGTTTTTTCATAGCTTCGTATTGAGGTTTCACCTACATAAAAACCATTTTTAATACAACAGTAAATTGTTTAAATGCTTAAATCAACCTACTTTTTCTAATTCCGCTTCTTTTTCTTTAATAGATTGCGTCAATCGAGCCAATTCATTCTCGGCTCGTTCTTTAGATTTATTGTCACCTTGTACTTCTTCAGACAAATCTTTAATAGTCAAATCCAGTTTGGCTTTTTCTTTGATTAAATGCTGGTTATCGTTATTTAAAATATCACGTTCCTCCTTTAAAGCATTCAGTTCCTTTTTCGTTTCTTTTGTCTTTTTGGTTAAAGTTTTTATATTATCTTGCGCTTTTTTAAGGTTGCCAGCAAGTTTTTCTTGCTCTGTACCTGACTCGTTTCTTTGTTTCTCTAACTAAAAATAAATAACATTAAGTTTTAGTAATAAATAGCTAATTACTTCTTACATCAGTGAGTTTCTTTTTATTTTCATTTAATTCAACTTCATGTATAATATATTCTAATGCTCTACGAATTTTATCGTATTGTTGATATTGTTTTAATTCTTCTTTTTCCTCTTCTAGAGTGCTCAAACGTTCCTCTATAGTATGAAGAAATTCTTCAATTTTTTCAATTTTTACTTCAGTTTCCCTCAAAATTCCCATTGACTCATCACGTCTTTCATCGTACACTCTTGTACCCGCTACTTCTCGAAGTAGTTTCAACCGATGTGCATCTGGGGCAGTAGCCATTTGGTTAATCTAAAATAAATTATTTTAGCACCTTTTGGTGAATACTATTTTCTATTTATTTACCTTTCCCTGCTTGACAATGTAGTATGGATTCGAATTTGAAAAACCGGCAGATTCCAAAAGATTCATGACTTCACTTCTCGGTACTACCTTTTTATTCAAGAAATATTGATCCTTCTTAGCTCCAATCACACGCCGCAAGTATATTTCTTCTTGTTCAATCTAAAACACATGCATTTTTGTCTCTTGTCGAAGTTATGCATACATAGTACTTACTGGAACTCTAGCATCAGAGTTGTCAAATATAATTTCAACATAAGCTGAAACAACTCTTGGTCCTGTACCTTCATGGAGCAGAGACTGTCTCTGTTCTGGTCTAAGATGAGAGTATTCATCACTGAGAACAAACTGTATGGCTAAAAATTACAAGTATTAAATCACTGTTTGAAAAATTCTATAAAAATACTCACCATAGAAGAAATTGCTTTTTCCTGAACCATTACGGCCTACAACCACATTGTGTCGCTTATCAAAAGGCTCTACTACTGTTTGATCTCGATAGCTTTTAAAACCTTGTATGATAACCTGTAAAGATGTAAACAATTTTCCAAAAAGTAAGTGATACCTTTTTTATTACATACCTGTTTTATATGCATTTTTAAGAAAAGTATTTAAATCATTTATATGTGTATTAAACTTAGCCTAGATTTTTCACTTATTTATGTTTAATTAATACTTTGGATAAAACAATAAACAATACTGCCGCCATTAAATGAGTACATAAACCATAGACCCAAATTACTGGATTCGCCCAACCATTACAGACGTGTGTGAGAGAGATAGAAAAAGTACGGGCTAAAGCTTCGTTCATAGAACTTTGGCTGTAGCGCAGTTCAGAGCGAACAGCCGAGCTGAGCGGACGTGTTTGTTTGTGAGGTGAAGTGCATTGCAACGAGCAAGATCTACCTGGCTTTATTAAGGCTACCTGGAAAGAATCCCTTTCTTTCCTTTTAATCACCGACCTAATCCCCGGCATAAGCATAGACGCCGTCGGCATCTTTGTTACAGGTATCTGTGCCGGAGTTACACATACACACACACACACAGACTGACACACACACACTCACACACACACACACACACACACACACACACACACACACACACACACACAGACACACACACACACACACACACACACACACACACAGACACACACACACACACACACACACACACACACACAGACACACAGACACACACACAGACACACACACACACACACACACACACACACACACACACAGACACACACACACACACACACACACACACAGACACACACACACAGACAGACACACACAGACACACACACACACACACACACACAGACAGACACACACAGACACACACAGACACACACAGACACACACACACACACACAGACACACACACAGACACACGCACACACACACACACACACACAGACACACACAGACACACACTCACACAGACACACACAGACACATACAGACACACACAGACACACACAGACACACACAGACAAACACAGACACACACAGACACACACAGACACACACAGACAGACACACACACACACACACAGACACACACAGACACACACACACACACACACACAGACACACACACACACACACACAGACACACACAGACACACAGACAAACAGACACACAGACAAACAGACACACCCACACACCCACACACCCACACGCACACGCACACGCACACGCACACGCACACACACACACACACACACACACACACACACACTCACACTCACACTCACACTCACACTCACACTCACACACACTCACACACACACTCACACTCACACTCACACTCACACACATACACACACACACACTATCCTTTTTATCAAACGAAAAATCCCACAAAACCTGGACAGACTGACATTATCCCAGGAACCTATCTCCTGGAATCGACAAACACGATACCTGGGCGTGACGATGGACCAGCGTCTCACGTGGAAACCGCACATCGTGGAGACGGTGGCGCGAGCGAAGACCACCAGGGCTAGGCTCTATCCCTTACTCAAAGGTGGAAACACCCTCAGTTTAAGGAATAAGCGAACGCTTATCAAGGTGGTACTTCAACCGCAGCTAACCTACGCCTCCACGGCGTGGGGTCACGCGGCAAAAAGCCACTTAAAGTCATTACAGGCTGTGGAAAACATAGCCCTCCGCACGGCCACCGACGCGCCCTGGTACGTAAGAAACACTGACATATTACGAGACTTACAATACACAAACGCTACACAGACAATAAGACAAAACGCGGAGAAACGATTTGACGTAGCCGCTAGACATGACAATCCCCTCCTCAGGCAAGCCGTTGACTACGTACCCGACGTGACCGACAAACACAAAAGACCTAGACACCAACTTTTTGACCCTGGGTGACCACCCCAATGACCCCCCCCCTGCCCGCTAACCTTTTCTGTTTCAGAGACAGCCAGGATCAAGAAACGAAGACACCGACACACACACACACACACACACATACACACCCCCCATACCCTCCTTACCCCTCCCCTCCCGCGCTAGCCTAAGGGCCACCTTAGCAATGTGGGACCTCCTTTTGTCCTGGCTGGCACCCTACCCAACCATACCACACATAAACATGACACCACCCCCGGAGTTTACACAGACGAGCCGGCGAAGCAAGAAGAGCGCCAGAAGAAAGGGCCATAGCCGGCGAGGCCCAGTCAGGACAAAAGGAGGTCTCACAAAGCGCCTACGTCGGCCGCATTTGCGGTCGGGGTAGACGACGGATGGGGCCCATCTACGAAGGCTGTCCACTGTCCAGGCCTACACGATAAAGGGGGATAATCCCCTCGATCCCAAATCATTGAGGACAATTTCTAGCCATGGAATAATGGCGCGTGTATCGACATCAGTCTTCAGAAAAACATATCGAATATCAAAATAAGTGATATTATGACGAAACGCATTTAAGAGTCTACCAAAAAGTGTTAAATTATGTGGACTACTGGCAGTTAATAACTTAACCATTTCGAATAAACATGCCATTTTTAAAACGAATAAAAAAACCGTATAGATCCTTTGTTTTATTTTAATTCTTGTCTGAAATAAAGATCGAATATTTATTTTATATGTGCCGCCCTGTAAAAAATTGTAATGTGGGTATTTGTGGGTAATGGAGAATCCTATAATGGGTATTTCATCCGGAAACTATTGGCAGCCCTGGTAATGACAATAAGAATTAACCTAACAATTTGATAGAAATAAAATGATATTTTCTTTAAAATTTATTAGAAAAGTTTCAATATGTTCCACCACGAAAATGAAAACTTTTTCAACAGGATTGCTTCAGTCAGATAATCACTTAGTAGAAGCTAACCCAGGTAACTAAAGGATGTTTAAGTATTTTGCTTGAACTTACATCAATTATTATTTCAGGTTTTGTACAAATTTCAAAGCAAGATGAAGTATTAAAACATCCAGATTACTTCAATGTACACAATTTATTCACTGTAAAAGACTTATTTGATGCAAGAGTGCATTATGGACATAAAGAAGGGTCTTTAGATGAAAGTATGCTTCCTTACATTTATGGAAGTCGTTTAGGTCATATTATTTTTGATTTAGACAAAACTGCGGCATATTTACGACATGCCCTAAATATAGCTGCTCATATTGCATACAGAGACGGAATAATCTTATTCTTTTTGCGTGGAGCACAAAATTCGCATCTCGTGGAACAAGCGGCTAAAGAATGCGGTGAATACGCACACACAAGATTTTGGAGAGGAGGTATATTTACTAATGCAAATAAACAATTCGGTGCAGTTACAAGGTTGCCTGATTTATGCATATTTATGAACACTTTAAATAATGTTTTAATACAACACACCGCTGTACGTGATTCCGCAAAAATGTCAATTTGCACCATTGGTATCGTCGACTCCAATTGTAATCCGAATCTTATTACTTACCCTGTACCTGGAAATGATGATTCACCTGCCGCTATAGAACTGTATTGCAAGTTGTTCAAGAAAGCGATTTTGAGAGGGAAAGAAAAGAGAAAAGAACACCTTCGACAACAGTGATTTATTTATAGACTAGTATTTATAAAAAAATAAATGTATATAAAGTTTAAAATTTTCTTTTTCCTAAGAAAGTAGTGTAATTAATATTACATTACTCTATATCAATGAGTTATTATATACATTAATTTCAACGTTTTCCCTGAACAACATATTTTTCAATGCAGTATGTATTTTGTTAGTGCTACTGTAATAAGTCAATAAACAAAATAATAAATAATAAAGTTACAATAATAATAATTGTTTTGGTATTATTTTTGGTGCAATAAATGTACATATTAACTAAGGAGGAAAATATAAAGATTGCATTGTATTCTTTTGCAGGAAAAATGTTTTTGGCACAAACTATGTGGCAAAAAAGTGTAGCACAGTTTTATGAGCAATCTGCTATTAAGATTAAACCAAATGTATCAAAACGAGACATTTTCTAAAACTGTCTAAATTTTTATTCAAAGGTTATCTAAATTACAGAGCCTTCATAAATGTTTACAAGTTACGTGACTGCCGAGATTAGACAAACCAACAATAGACGATTGGCACTGGCAAAGAAAATTTCCTAAATCTTGGGTCAATATTAATGATTCGTTTCCATTGAACAATGACAAATCATTACATCTAAGCTTGAACCAATGCAATCGCTGATTGGTGTAATTTTCACGAGATTCTATTCAACCAATCAGCAATCGCATTATCTTGAGTGTAGATGTAACAGTTTGTCATTCTTCAATGAAAACGAATCATTGATATTGGTGACGCCAAGATTTAGGGAATTTTTGTTACTAGTACCAATCGGGCAATGTTGAATTGCCTAAGTTCGGTGGTCACAGGGCTTGTAAACATTTACAACCTGTAGATTTGTACAGAAAATGTTGAGGCTAATAATACACAATCATGTTAGGCAACCATTTATCAGTTAGTGAAAGATCTAAACCTTGATCTAAACTAATACATGAAGATATTTTATGTTAGATTGTAGAAGAATGAGTAGAATTAGATAAACAAGCATTATTAAAAAGCAAAGAAATGAAAATAAAATAAGGTGTATGGTACGCATGAATACTACGTTAGAAATGAAGAGAAAAACCAAGTCCATATAAAATAGTTGATAATCGTAAGGAAACTACACCAGCAAACCCAAGGCAACCATCACCATAGCCAATGATATATCATTCTTTCCTTTTCATCTAAAAATTATGTCAGTGTAGTAGAGATTAGAATGATATGAATTAAAAAATTATACAAGATAACTATTAATAAGTTTTCAGTTTCTGTATCGATAATACTATATAATCTAAACTGGCAATACCTCATCAACTTTTTTAGAGTCTCGTAGTTTAAAAAGGAATTCAGGTCCTAGAACTTTAAGACCCCTAAAACATAAATAATACGCAGTATTGAAGGAGTCTATAATATATACAAGAATTCTTACATGGAGGAGATTACGGGGCAATACACTGATACATAAGTAAAAAATATAATTGGCGACACTGCCATCCACGATTCCCTCGTTTTGTTAACTAAAGCTACTGCAATTAAATCTCCACAACGTTCTGCAGTCATTCGTTTATCTGTAGGTTGAACATCGATATTGTATTTCTAAAATAATAAAGATTTACTGAACAAACAAGCAAGAAATTCAATATTAAAGCAATTATTCAGTCTGATTTTTAATTAACATAATTAAACAAATACCTCTCCTTCTTTTTCCGTAAAACTTTCACCTAAGAAATTCGTAAATGTTGGTCCTGGACATAATGTTGTCACATGGATGTTGGTTCTTGTTTTTTCAATATCAAGAGCTTTAAAATAACCCTATAAAAATTTAGTTATTGTCAGTGCTAATGTTATGATATTCATATGCATGTGCATAGCTAAGATTTTTGCTCGCGGTAGGCTGCTAGCTCTATGGAGGCCTCTAAAAAAAGGCTCATGCATGCACCTGAAGACTTTTTCGTTTAGTAAAATGTTGGAAATCATTGTTCATGTTTTCTAGTTTATTTAAATTCTATATAGTAGAGCAAAGAACTTCTGATGGTTTTCTTTTTCAAAATAATTATGACATATAGGACGTTTCAAATAAGAAGGGTAATATACAGAAACCCATACAGAATATGATGTTATTTACATAAAAATACTTATCAATGGAATGAAATTTAAAAGATTTCAAGTACATGTATTTAAGAAATTAACATTACATTCACTTACTTGAATTGCATGTTTCGAACCAGTATAACTACCTGAATAAGGTACCCCCATTATTCCAGCCAAACTCGAAACTACAGCGATGTGACCACTTCCCTTTTTGTTAAAGTGCTCTAAGGCAACTCTACTTAAGTTAACAACTCCAAAAACATTCAAATCGAATAATTGCTTGTCAACAGATAATTCAATGTTATCCCACATTGCTCTCTGTGATCTTCCAGCATTATTTATTAAAATATCAACATGCCCGAAATGCCCTACAGCATGCTGAAAATGTTTTTTGTGTGACACAAAATCGGTCATGTCCATTGGAACTACAAGCACATCTTTATCGTCGAGTTGACCTTTAGAAATCTCTGCAATTATTAGTAAATATGTTACAGAATAAATATAAACTTTTTAATCTTTTTTTGAATTAATTTCAAACAATTATTTTCAAATTAATTTGTATAATTCTACATTTTGATATGTTTATATGGCTTTTCTGGACCGTTTTCATTTTAATAGTTCAATAACTTCAATACATTGAATTAGAATCTGTTGAAGTAGATAAATATACATCGTTTCTTAATAGCATATGAGGATACCATTTAATGAGATACTTTAAAAATAAGATGTTCCAGGACATGTGTTCAAACACAGACGAAAATTCTAAAATGGGCTTGTGCTAAATCGGTGCACATATTTTAGTAACAGTTCTAAATTTATTTATACATACCAATACAGCGTCTTTTAACTCTTTGTAATTCATCATTTCGTCTTGCAGCAAGAACTAATTTTACACCATATTTAGCTAACGCATAGGCTGCATATTCTCCTATACCACTGGAAGCTCCAGTTATGAAAACAACCTTCCCCTTTAATCTTCCTTTAAGAATTCAATAGGAATTATATATTTAAAAAAAATACAGGTTAGCATACTCACTTGGAGATTTTCCAAACTTTTCATAAAATAATAGTTGTAGATCACAGTCACAAAACAATGTTAAAAGTGTGTATACGACGGTATAAATGCAAAAACCTACACCAACAACAGTAAAAAACATTTTATTACGGCCTAATCTATACTAATAAGCCCATAAATTTTGATACTTTTGAACAGTTCTACATGTATGTACTTTGTACTACATGAAATTAGCCTTCTTTCTTAACTTTCTTATCAGTATCACTGCTGCAACTGCATTCCGAGCAACATTTTTCCTTTTCCTAATCAAACTATTTGTTTTTCATTAATTAGGAATCGAGTTCTCTATCAATATCACGTTAGTTGTTTTTGCCTTTACCACAGAGGACTCAATACACGTTTATAACTAATCTTTATAGAGCCCCTACCCATTTATCATCGTCTCGTTTGCACGATTTTTTCAAGTGATTTTGTAGTTCTACCAGCGTACGCTGGTTGTACCCTCAGACCACCCCTCAGACTAATTATTACTCTGAGGTTGTACCTAATCTTAATTTAAATTTGTAAGGTTAGGTTAGGTCTATATTTTATGGGCAAACTTTTAATTATAAAGGGTCGGAAAGTCCCCATGGTTCATCGGCCGTTACGTGTGAGCGATAAAGTAATAGAAATCCGTGCGATAGAGAAATATGGCTATAATGAAGGCGTCTAATAGTCACCGCCCATTTCGCCCTTCCACAAATAAGATCAACTTCTTATTTGTGGAAGAGCGAAATGGGCGGTGAGTATTAGACGCCTTCATTATAGCCATCTTTCTCTATCGCACGGATTTCTATTACTTAAGCACCCCACACACTTTCGGGCTTCGTGACAGTTTTAACCGAACGTGATTACCCGGCCGGTTTCCCAAATCCTGCTAGGACACACACACTCGTTTTCTATCCGAACTGTTTTAACTGTTCCGTTTTAGTAGTAAAATGGCGTCCAAGCGTATTTTGCGTTTACTTGGAATCACGGTACCACTTTTAAAAACGAAAAAGTTGAAAAGACAGCGTTCTAGATGGGTCAAGGAGTGGTTGTTGCAGAGGAAAACAGTACAGCTTTAAAATCTATCCGATCTAATATCCAACACGCGGTCCAAAACACGCGGTCCAATCACGTACAGTACTCGGAGCGCACACACCCTCAGGAAAGCAAATAGGCCGGTGAATCACGGCATCCGGTCCCGACGAAATTGAACTGGCACCTGATGTTATTCGGGATTACCCGTTCAGGATAATTTTATTCGGGATTGCACATACACTTCCATGTTTACCCGTACGGTGTAGTCACGTTCGGTTATAACTGTCACGAAGCCCGAAAGTGTGTGGGGCGCTTTAAGCGCCAGTTGAATTTCGTCGGGACCGGATGCCGTGATTCACCGGCCTGTTTGCTTTCCTGAGAGTGTGTGCGGTCCGAGTACTGTACGTGATTGGACCGCGTGTTGGATATTAGATCGGATAGATTTTAAAGCTGTACTGTTTTTCTCTGCAACAACCACTCCTTGACCCATCTAGAACGCTGTCTTTTCAACTTTTTCGTTTTTAAAAGTGGTACCGTGATTCCAAGTAAACGCAAAATACGCTGCTTGGACGCCATTTTACTACTAACACGGAACAGTTAAAACAGTTCGGAGAAAACGAGTGTGTGTGTGTCCTAGCAGGATTCGGGAAACCGGCCGAGTAATCACGTTCGGTTATAACTGTCACGAAGCCCGTAAGTGTGTGGGGCGCTTTACTTTATCGCTCTCACGTAACGGTCGATGAACCATGGGGACTTTCCGACCCTGTATACCTTAGGATATTAATTTCAGAAATATTTTTTAAGGATTCATTTTTGTACACTAAATATTGTCCATATTTAACTTATATCATGTGGAAACACGAATCGCTTTATATAGGTATTTTACACACAAGTATTGCATTTTATATGTAGGAACAAGGATTTTAATACAATGAAAAAATGAACTTACCTGATTGTTGTAGGTGCAGGATGCAGGGTGTGGACAGTAGAAGAATGGATTTAACTTGAATGCCTATTTTATATTAAATAATGCAGTTTGTTTACTAGAACGATTTCTCAGTAAGATTAAATTTATACTTTATGCACCGAAGGAAAATCGGCTAAAATTTTTCTTAAATTTTCAGTTGAATGAAAGCATTCATGGAACATTAAAAAGTCAATCAGATATAATTGTTCAGCAATATACAGGGTGATTTTTAAGTTGGGTAAATCCTTCTACTGCCAATAAAGCTAAGAAAAATTATTTTTTTATTTTTTTTCCTTTACCACTTTTTCGAAATATCAATATTAACGAAAGTACAGGGTGTTAAAGTTTTGTTTAAATATTTTAAAAATGAATTTTTTTCTACGAAACCGCTTGTGATATGTTAATGAAATTTTACAGGCGTTGATAACTCCAAAAGTCGCATATTATTCGATAAGCAGAATATTTCTAAATCTATCAGTGGCACACGTACCAACAGATAATTCAATATTTTTTAAGAAATAATGGTACGCTACTGTTTTTTCAAAACATAAAAATAATTTTTGATTTCTCTGTTCAGTTCTGAAGAAGAAAGCTCTCTTGAGATTTTTTCACACGACTCATTGTTTTCAAATAAAAAAAAAAGAAATAGTTTTATCATCATCAAATCACACTTTTTCACATTTTGTTTTTGTTTATTCCTATTGTCAACCAATGTTCTGTCAATTTAATTGCTTCTGTAACATTATTAAAGTACCAATACAAAAATGGCTTATGTTTATTCAAATAATGAATTAGTTGATAGTTGATATGCTGATTATTTACGGGGAGTGGCGTACAAATGCCACTGCTGCATCTCGCTTATATGCTGAACGATTTCCGTTGCGAGTCAGTCCTTCACACCGACAATTTCTCAATTTAGTTCAAAGAGCCAGAGAAACTGGTAAATTAAAGGAACATCGCGGAGGTCATGCAGGGAGAACCCGACAACGTGAAAATGTTCAAATCGAAGATCAAGTTTTACATCTTATCGAGGAAGACCCAACAAGAAGCACTCGGGGAATTGCAGGTTGAAAGACAGGTCGAAGTGAGTCAAACCAAGGTATGGAGAACATTACGCAAAAATCAGTTATACCCTTTTCACGTTCAATGTGTACAGGCTCTACAATCTACCGATCATCCACGCAGAGTTCAATTCTGTGAATGGCTGTTACAAAAGCATGCAGATGATGAACATTTTACTAAAACCATTTTAGCTATGGACGAAGCACAATTCACTCGTGACGGTATAAATAACTTCCGAAATACGCACCTTTGGTCTATTGAAAATCCACATGCTGTTAGAAGAACCAATTTTCAACATCGATTTTCCGTCAATGTATGGACAGGACTTGTGAATGGAATGCTCATTGGACCACATATTTTACCAGATCTTTTAACGGGCGAAAATTATTTAAACTTCTTGCAAAATGATCTGCCAGTTCTCTTGGAGGAACTGCCATTGAACGTTAGGCAAAACATGTGGCTTCTGCCACCATTGTTCTGGGACAATACTTTTTGAAATAAATGGATTGGTCGAGGTGGTTCAGTGGAGTGGCCTCCGAGATCTCCAGATCTGACTTCATGTGACTTTTTTTGTGGGGCTACATGAAATCCTTAGTGTACCAAATTCCTGTGGAAACAGTGGAAGAATTGATTGGACGCATATAGGAGGCTGCTATTACGATTAGAGGGAAACCAGTTTCTTTACTTCGCGCGGTGACTGAACAGTGATTACGTCGAGCTGAACTATGCGTCGAAGTAAATGGAGCTCATTTTGAGCATATCAGTTAGATTAAGTTTAGTAAAATTTTCATAACATACCTACTTAAGTAATTTTGAATTAAAGTTAGGTACATTTGATTTTGAATGTGGAATAAAACTATTTCTTTTTTTTTTATTTGAAAACTATGAGTCGTGTGAAAAAACTCAAGAGAGCTTTCTTTTTCAGAACTGAACAGAGAAATCAAAAATTATTTTTATGTTTCGAAAAAACAGTAGCGTAAAATTTTTTTCTTAAAAAATATTGAATTATCTGTTGGTATGTGCGCCACTGATAGATTTAGAAATATTCTGCTTATCGAATAATATGCGACTTTTGGAGTTATCAACGCCTGTAAAATTTCATTAACATATCACAAGCGGTTTCGTGGAAAAAAATTCATTTTTAAAATTTTTAAACAAAACTTTAACCCCCTGTACTTTCGTTAATACTGATATTTCGAAAAAGTGGTAAAGGAAAAAAATATTTATTTTTCTTAGCTTTATTTGGCGGTAGAAGGATTTACCCAACTTAAAAATCACCCTGTATACACGTTTATTTGTACATCTAATTATCAATATTATCATCATATATACGTACAGAAAATTTATTTGAGTAGGTCATTAATGTATAGAAATTTAAAATTTTACGAGGGGTAAGTAGGTACCTAGTAATTCCCTAAAGAATTTAAAATTGCTTTTTATGCGAACGATTTTTTTCACTTCCATTATAGTTACATCGTACAAAAATAGTATTTCTAACAAAAAATTCCTATATTTTTTTTGTGAACTTTATAGGTAGGTAGGTATATAGTTTTAAGTTTATATTTAAAATTGATTCAGCTACTTATGTCTAAAGCTTATTTTAAATTCAAAAAAATAACTCAAAATTGGATCGTTTTTAGAAACAAAAACGAGGAAGCATTGTTTTTGTTAGAAATACTAATGGGAATTAAATGAAACTTATCCAAATTGCAAAATACTCAGTGGCGTTGAAATTGTAGCATTCTTAATGACATATATTTTCCACTATATCCGCTACTGGTTGACAGATTTATGAACACTCAGTGAATTTTTGCCCAAACTAGATCGTAAAGTTATTTTGTCAATCTTATGTCAAACTTTTTACGAGATATATGAATAAAGAGAATATATTTTTAATTGTAAAATACCTACTGTTTTTCAGAATGAAATCTTCCATCGACCGTTAAATTTTGACTACAAATAACATAATTCATTTTGAAAATATTTGAAAGATTGTTGAATAAATGAAGCACTCCGTATAGTAACCATTTAATCTGAAATCCTTAAAATGAATTTTTTATCTGTTGTAGAAATTAATACACACTGTTCGACAAAAACTTAATGCTCTGGGTCTAGACAATCACATACTTTTTTTTCTGTCGAACCTCTTTGTGTAACTGAAATAAAATAATATATTTAATATAAAATGTCCTGCCTCAAAATTTAGTTTTTTTTTAATTTTGAAAACTAATATGATGAGTTAAAGGAAAAGATATCCAGAACACATGCGATATATTACAGCTATACCTAAATTCATATTATAAGTCTTATAAAAACAGATATGTATTTTTAAAACAACTAAACCAACATTTCTATTCATAATGGGGAAATTAATAATAAGGGAAAATAATGTAACCAAAAT